GATGGCACATAACAACATAACAACAACATTATATCCATAGCGTGTAAAGCAATGCCTGACATATATTAGGTGCTCATGAGAGTTTGTTGGAAAATGAGCGATTGAAAGCAAGAGAGGAGTGTCAGAGGAGCTGAAGATAAATGGGTGACCAGAAGAACTTAGAAAGTCTGACATTGAAGCCTGTGACGCTTCAATCTTTAGTTTTCCTCCCATTACTGTAAAGAAAGCGGACAGGACCATCCAGCACCCAATGTCATACTCAATACATGGAGAGGATACAACAACCACATTTTTTGAAGGAAGAAAAAAAATATTTGCAAAATTACAGAACACTTTCAATTTCTTCTTCAAGAAAGAAGGCATTACTGTTGTAAAGCAGGACTGACCTCAGGGTTGGAAAGAGACTGAGAAGGATGGGTTCAATAATGTATACTGCATTGAAACAGATGAGGGAGAAAACTGTTTAAGAGGAATAATTCGTATGGATTTTTGTCAAGACAGGAGTCCAGAGAGAAGGCTGTATAGTGGCGTGGACCTCGGGGAAGGGATAGTAAAATAATGAAAGAATTTTTCTTTTACTTTTCCAAGAGGGTAGTTTACCAGGGGGGAGGGTTGGGAAGGGAGAAAAGTGCAACAATGAATGAATGGAAAGCCAAACTCTCTAAATTTTCACTGTAACTAATAATAAATTAAAAAAAAAAGAAAAAAAGGCATCATATTCTCAAGTCAATGAAGGAAAACTATAAGTATCATGGACTTTTTAAAAATTCACAGATTAATGATTTTTAGTGCAACATATGTATATTTTATAGTATATCATATCCATACAGATTTTCCCCATTCAGTGCTGCACATTTTCCTCCCTGCCCACCTCTTCCTCCAGTTTGTTTTTTTCTTTGAAAAGAAAAAATTTCTTTTTATACAATCCTCCGCAAATCCACAGTCCACTTTACTATGCATTTCTCCTCCTGTAATCTGGTCATGAAAAAAATACCTAATCCTATATTTGTTTTAAATAGTTTTCTCACTCATCTGTTTTAATGCAGTATACATTAGTTATCCCCTCTTTTCTTAGGTTTCCCCCCAACTCCAATGAAAAGAGAAGACACAGACTGGGAAAAATATTTGACAATGACATGTCAGATAAGGAACTTATATCTAGAATTTATAGAATATTCAAATGCCACAACAAGATAAAGAACCCAAAATGGGCACAGGATGTGAACAGACACTTCACCAAAGGCGACATTCAGATGACAAAAAAACACATGAAGAAGTGTTCAAAATCCCTAGCTCTAAGAGAGATGCAAATCAAAACAACTATGAGATATCATCTCACCCCAGTAAGAATAGCAAAATTCAACAGAGCAGCAAACACCAAATGCTGGCAAGGTTGTGGAGAAACTGGAACCCTTATTCACTGTTGGTGGAAGTGTAAAATGGTGTAGCCACTATAGAAGGCTGTATGGCACTTTCTCAAAAAGTTGGAAATAGAAATAAGAAACCAGAACTGCCACCCAGGCAGATATATGCACACCCATGTTTATTGCTGTTCTTTTCACAATAGCAAAGGATTGGAAACAACCCAAGCGCCCAACAACAAATTAATGGATAGAGAAGCTGTGGTATATTCACACAATGGAATACTATGCTGCTTTGAAAAACAAAGAACTCATAAAATATTATACAAAACGGATGACCCTGGAGGACATTAAGCAGAGTGAAATATCTCAGTCACAAAAGGACACATACTGCATGGTGTCACTGTTGTGAAACAGGACTTTTCTTTTTTCACAAATACATTTTCAGAAAGAAATCCCAATACAATATTATAAGAAAGCAGAAAATTCTTAGCCAAAGACTATTCAACTTTTAAGTCAATGCAGGAGTGGTATCCATTTCCTAACCAACATGCCTCCAGAAATTCTATGAGCTTTGATAAATATCAATAGTTATAGAAAGGATTCAGGCCTTTTGTTCATAGGGCCACTATGAGTCATACTCGACTTGAGGCAGTCAGCAACAACAACAAAAGATAGTCAAAAGTTATGAACCATGCATCTGTATCTCAAGATGAATACTCATTTTTCAAAAGTAGACTTTTTCTTTCCCTTTCAAGGAAAGAATACAGCAAAAACTCATATATATGCAGGCTTGTCGATTTACCTCAAACTCCTTAAGGAGTTCTTCTGTTTTCAGGCTGTCATTCAGGTGGCGGATGCTTTCAGTCAGTTGTGGGACACAGTTGTTTGACCATCCATCGATTTCATCTTTACTCGACAGTACATCGTCCCAAATGGACAGGCAGACTCTCAGCCTATCCATGTTCTCCTCAATTCTCTCTGAGGTCTGCAAGAGAAAGAAACCACGGCATTAATAATCTCAGGCTTGTAAAAGCCCCTTCCCCACAAAGTACTACTAAAAAAAAAAATCAGTGCTTCTTGCAACAGTGAATGAATGGAAATACAAAGTCTCTGTAAACACTCATTAAAATTAATAATAAAAAAGGAGGAAAAAAGAATGTAAAAAAAGTTATATTCTAACAGAAAAAAAAAAGATTCTTCTAAAAAGTTGTCAGCAATTTGTGGTGGTGGTGGTGGTGTGTGCCATGGACAAAAAAATGGACTCATAATTGACCTTCCAGTGGGTTGTTTTGTTTTTGTTTTTTTTTTTAGAGATTGTAGATCACACAAAAGATTGTCCATATTTCTTCTGGACTGCCTTTGGTCTGACAGCACAACTTCTTACTCACTAGATCCCTATTAGCTAATTACTACACCATGTTTGGCAACTATTAATCATTATATAATCGCCTCTTATCAATGGACATGTTTCTGAGACCTTAGAATTTCATTTGTAAGCTAGAATACTTGTGTCCAAGGTCTACTGTAATCTTCTACAATGTAACTCACTGTTTATTGTTGTGTGCTGTCGAGTGGGAACCCACCCATCGCTGACCCTCCAGTGGGTTTTCAGAGGCAGTTCATTTCAAGGGAGGAGACTGATCATCTTTCTCCCATGGAGCAGCTGGTAAATTTGAACCACGGACCTTTGGGATTACAGTGCAGCTTCTTACCATGAGGCCACGAGAGGTTGAATATTATGGGATAGAAATAAATTTTACTGGGTTTCTTTTTCCAACTACTGTCTCTGAAAACCCATTGGAGGGTCAGCTATGAGTCAGTTCTGACTAGATGTCAAACAACAATAAACAGCAAACACAACTACTACTTTGTAATCCTGAGTTATAGGTTGTTGAGTTGATTACCGTCGAGTTGAGCATGACTCATAGCGACCCTATGAACAAAAGACCTGAACCCTGTTCTCTGTCATAATTTCTCTTAGTTTATAGAGTTTCCAGGAGGCATGTTGTTTAGGAAGTGGATGCCACTCCTGCTTCTTTGGAACATGTTCAAAATAAATAAATACACAGGAGATTGAGTAATTAAAAAGAGAATGCTAAGAGTGCGGTGTAATGTAGTGTATTCCATGCCTGGCTGCTAATGAAAAGCCAGAGGTTTGAATCCATCAACTGTCCCAAGAAAGATGAGACAGTCTGATCCCAGTAAGATTTAAAGCCTCGGGAACCAGATGGAAGGTCATCATGGGAATTGACCCAGGAGTAATGGGCTTAGTTTATGGTTTTGTTCTCTTCTATAGCACAAATATTCTGAAAATGGAGGCTGATAAGGTGTCCTGTAGCTCAAAAATTCTTTGATTATAGTTACACAGATATTAGTGTCTGACTTCTTCATTTAGCTTTCAGTGAAGGAACCCACTATGGGGTCAAGTTCTGAACCTAGATATTGATAATTGGAGGTCAAGCAATAAAATGACTCAATTTTTGAGCTCCAAAATAATGAAAAAAATATCTCATGATATAAACTTCTGTAGAAATCAGATAACTAGTTCTATGGCCATCTAGCTAGTAAGTGACATGATAGAAACTATAACCTAAGTCTGTAAAGTAAACTCCAGTATTTTCCAACAAAAATTAAAACCCTTTATCTTCAAATTACTATGAACTATGCTTGGTTATTCTATGGGATGTTACTAAATTAATTTTCAATTTTACTTATAATTCAAAAGTAACCAGAATTAAAACAATGTAGAATTAATGTGAAGATTGGAGTTAGCAAGTGCAATTCTACATTGTCAGTAAGTTTTAGCAAAATTGTTGAAATAATAATTTTGTTTACTATCTGTAAACTTTGTGTGGACACCACTTTTCTTCAGATCATCATCTGGAATGCAACCCTTATTATTAAGATACGGTAAATATGGAATCTACACCTTGGAACCTTTGTCCCAAACTGTGACTGAAAGATGTGACTGTCTAAATGAGATAGTTCTCTCACATCTAGCCATCTGTCCACTGTGCCCTCCACGTCTGTCTTCACCAATGTGAAATCACTGCTGTGGATTTTCTTCAACTCGGACAACAAGTGCTTTCCTTTGCTGGTAAAGCTATCCAAGTCTTTCTGTTTTTCATTCATTTCATTCTTGGCGGTTTCATGCTGTGAATACAAACGTTTCCTTGATTATTTTATTAATCAATGATAGGTGAAGAGCTTAAAGCCATTAGCTACTAAGAAGTTGAATTCATGGTTGGCTTCTTGTAGAATATAGTGATATTAACAAATACACATATAACATACACAGAGAAACATAAAGATATTGAAGCATATGCTATTATTTCACAGATATTTATGTCAAATGCATGCAATATGTTTTATGTAAAAGAAATTATTTAAT